CATGGGACACAGCAAAGGCGGTCCTGAGAGGGAAGTTCATAGCAATACAGGCTTACCTAAAAAAGATAGAAACATTTCAAATAAAAGACCTAACACTACAACTTCAAGAACTGGAGAAACAACAACAAATAAATCCCAGAGCAAGTAGAAGGAAGGAAATAGTCAAGATTAGAGCAGAACTGAATGACATAGAGACGAAGAGAACAATTCAGAGGATCAACCAATCCAGAAACTGGTTCTTTGAATAGATAAATAAAATTGACAAGCCTTTAAGAAGACTCATCAATAATAGAAGGGAGAGGACCCAGATTAATATCAGAAATGAAGAGGAGAAATAACAACTGATACCAGAGAAATACAAAGGATCATCAGAAACTACTATGAACAATTATATGCCAAGAAATTTCAAAACCTTGATGAAATGGACTAATTTCTAGAAAAGTATCATCTTCCAACACTGAAAGAGGAGGAAACAGCAAGCTTGAACAGACCGATAACAGCTGGGGAAATTGAAGCAGTCATCAAGAAACTCCCTGCACACAAAAGCCCAGGGCGGGACAGTTTCCCAGGAGAATTTTACAAAACATTTAAGGAAGAGCTAACCCCTGTCCTTCTCAGACTATTCCAAAAAATCCAAGAGGAGGGAAGACTCCCAGACTCTTTCTATGAGGCCAGCATCACCCTGATCCCAAAACCAGATAAAGACCCTACAAAGAAAGAAAACTACAGGCCAATTTCGCTTATGGACATAGATGCTAAAATCCTCAACAAAATGTTGGCAAACCGCATCCAGCAATACATTCAAAAGATTATCCACCACGATCAAGTGGGATTCATCCCAGGGTTGCAGGGATGGTTCAATATACGCAAGTCAATAAACGTGATACATTACATAAATAAAAGACAAGACAAAACCGCATGATCATCTCAATAGACGCAGAAAAAGCATTCGATAAGAAACAGCACCCAGTTATGATCAAAACACTCAGCAAAATGAGAATTAATGGGGCATTCCTCAACGTAATAAAGGCCATATATGAAAAACCTACAGCCAACATCATACTTAACGGGCAAAAACTGAAAGCTTTCCCACTAAGATCGGGAATACGACAAGGATGTCCACTTTCACCGCTGCTTTTCAACATCATATTGGCAGTCCTAGCCACAGCAGTCAGGCAAGAAAAAGAGATAAAAGGAATTCAAATAGGAAAGCAGGAAGTAAAACTATCCTTGTTTGAAGATGAGATGATAGTGTACATAGAGAACCCTGTAGTCTCTACCAAAAAACTCCTTAACCTCATAAGTGAATTTGGCAAAACAGCAAGATACAAAGTCAATATTCAGAAATGAAAGGCATTTTTGTATACCAGCAATGAAACTGAAGAAGATATCTGAAAAAAAAAACCATTCAATATAGCAAGAAGAAATATAAAGTACCTAGGAATAAATTTAACCAAGGAGGTAAAAGACCTCTATGCAGAAAACTATACAACATTGAAGAAAGAAATTAAGGAAGACACAAATAAATGGAAGCATATACTGTGCTCATGGATTGGAAGAATTAATATCATCAAAATGTCCATACTACCCAAAGCAATTTATAGATTCAACGCAATCCCTATTAAGATACCAAGGACGTATTTCACAGAAATAGAACAGACATTTCAAAAATTTATATGGAACCATAAACGACCCCGAATAGCCGCAGCAATTTTGAGAAAGAAACACAAAGTAGGAGGTATCACGATACCGGACATCAAACTCTACTACAAAACCACTATACTCAAAACAATCTGCTACTGGCACAAGAACAGATCCATAGACCAGTGGAACAGAATAAAGCCCAGAAATAAGCCCAGGTCTCTATGGGCATCTAATATTTGACAAAGGGGGCAGAAGCATAAAATGGAGCAATAATAGCCTCTTCAAGAAATGGTGTTGTCAGAGCTGGACGGCTACATGCAAAAAATTGAAATTGGATCATCAGCTGACACCATACACAAAAATAAACTCAAGATGGATAAAAGACTTAAATATAAGTCGCAACACCATCAAAATCCTCGAGGAGAACATTGGCAGGAAACTCTCAGATATCCCACGCAGCAAGTTTTTCACTGATATGTCCCCTAGAGCAAGGGACATAAAGGAAAGAAAAAGAAGTGGAATCTCCTCAAAATAAGAAGCTTCTGCATGGCTAAAGAAAACATCAGCAAAATGAAAAGGGAGCCAACCATATCGGAAAATATATTTGCTAATGATACATCAGATAGAGGTTTGATCTCCAAGATATAGAAAGATCTCACTCGACTCCACTCCAAGAAGATAAATGATCCAATCAAAAAATGGGCAAAGGACCTGGGCAGACACTTTTCCAAGGAAGAGATACAGATGACCCAGAGGCATTTGAAAGGATGCTCGGCATCACTAGCCATCAGAAAAATGCAGATGAAAACAACAGTGAGGTACCACCTCACAGCGGTCAGAATGGCCATCATAAACAGATTATCAAACAACAGGTGCTGGCGAGGTTGTGGAGAAAAGCGAACACTAGTACACTTTTGGTGGGAATACAGACTGGTGCAGCCACTGTGCAAAGCAGTGTGGAATTTCCTCAAAAAGCTGAAAATGGAACTGCCTTTTGATCCAGTGATTCCCCTGCTGGGACTATACCCTAAGAATACCAAAACACCAATACAAAAGAACCTATGCACCCCAATGTTCACAGCAGCACAATTTACAATAGCCAAGTGTTCGAAGCAACCTAAATGCCCATCAGTAGATGAGTGAATCAAAAAATGATGGTACATTTACACAATGGAATATCACGCAGCAGAAAGAAAAAAAGAACTAGTAAACTTTGCGACAGTATGGATGGAACTGGAGAGCATTATGCTAAGTGAAATAAGCCAGGGGGCGAAAGTCAAATACCACATGATGTCACCTATAAGTGGAACCTAACCAACAATACAAAGATGCAAGGAAAAATAACACCAGCAACACTGAAAGGAAAAGAAACCAACAGTGACAAGAAGGAAGGAAGGAGGGAGGGGCGGGGGAAAAGGAAAGTCAAGGTACATATAGCAAGGACTCACTGACAAAACCGAAGGGGAAGAGTTGAGGGAGGGAGGGAGGGGGCAAGGGAAAGTGGTCGGGGGAAGGCAGAGACAAATGTATTTGAAAAAATAAATAAATAAATAAACAAACAAACAAAGGCCAAACCCCTCAGTTAATATTACACTGAACAGTGAAAAACTGAAAGCTTCTGCACGTTTAACATGGTTGAAATGACCCTATCACCTAAAGCAATGTACAAATTTAATGCTATCCCCAGCAAAACCCCAATGGCAGTTTTCAAAGAGGAGAAAAAAAATCATCAAATATTTATGGAAACACTAAAGACTCAATGGCCAAAGCAATCCTGAGAAAAAAGAACAAAGCTGGAGGTACCTAGTCACTGGCTTGAAATTATATTACAATATAGGTACAATAATCAAAATCGCATGGTACTAGAAAAATAACAGACAGCAGACAAATGGAACAGAATGGCAGTCCAGAAATTAATCCACATGTATATGTGCAAACAATTTTTAACAAAGGAGCCAAAACATATACTCGATAAAGGACAGCCTCTTTAGTAAGTGGTGCTGGATAAATTGGAAAGCCACATGTAAATGAATGAAAGCAGACTGCCGTTTTACCCCATATACAAAAATTAACTCAAAATGGATCAAAAGACTTAAATACAAGGCCTGAAACAATAAATTACATTGAAAAAAACCATAGGGCTGAACTTATGGATCTTGGTCTCAAAGATTTTGTGAATTTGGCCCCAAAGGCAAGGGAATTAAAAGGAAAAATGAATGATTGAGGCTGTATCAAACTAAAAATATCAACAACAAAAAAAGGCAACCATCCAAATGAGAAAATGTCTGTAAACAATACCTCTGATAAAGGACTCATATCCAAAATATAAATGAACTCATAACCTCAACAACAACAAAAAGAACAATCCAATTAAAAAAATCTGCAGAGGACCTGAACAGTTACTTTTCCCAAGAAGATATGAATGACCAACAGATACGTGAAAAGATGTTCAACTTCACTAGCTATTAGGAAAATGCAAATCAAAACTACAAAGAGATACCACTTCACATCTATTAGAATAGCTATTATCAACAAGACAATTAGTAATGAGTGTTGGAGAGGTTGTGGACAAAAAGGAACTTTGACTCTGCTGGTGGGAATGTAAATTGGTATAGCAACTCTGGGAAACAGTATGGAGGTTTCTCAAAACATTAGAAAGAGAGCTATCTTATGATCTTGCAATCCCTCTTTTGGGTACCAACCTGAAAAATTTTAAAACATGTATTCATAAAGATGTGTATATACCCCTATGTTCACTGCAGCATTATTCACAGTTGCTAAGACATGGACACAATCTAAGTATCCTTCAACGGATGAATGAAAAAATAATGTGGTACCTATATACAATGGAATACTGCTCGGCCATAAGAAAGAATGAAATATTGCCATTTGGGACACTATGGATGTATATTGAGAGTATCACACTAAGCGAAATAAATGAGATGCTTAAAGTCAAGAACTGTATGATTTCACTCATATATAGGAAATAAAAATAAAGCAACCAAACACACAAAACAAACTCATAGACACAGACAAGAATATGAAGGTTATCAGAGAAGAAGGGGGTGGGAGAATGACGAGGGTAAATGGAGGCCAAATATATGGTGATAGAAAAAGACTAGACTTTGGTTGGTGAGCACACAGTGGAATATATGGATAACGGAGACCCGCCTCCACTTGTTTTGACTTCTGCCTCTGTAAAGTGGAGAACTGTGCTTACCCAAGAGTTGTAAATGCACTTTGAAAACCATAAAGCACATCTATGTTAAAAAGAAACTGCTTTAGACATGATGCTGACAGTTAGGTGGTCTCAGGATTCGGTTCCTGGGCTAGTCATGCTACCAGATGAGACTCACTTTGTGCCCTGGTACTTCTGTCCCTGGCACAGCTTTCATATGGAAATCCACCACTCCCATATTTTCTAACAAGTTGGTTTCACCTATTGTTGATTTTTTTTCCTTTGCTTTTGCTTCTTCCCTCTCTTGGGCCAATCTGAATCAAAGAGAAAATATAAACAAACCAACCATGTTATTAGTGGTGCTTTTGTTTTGTTTTTTAATACTATAATGCTGTTTAACTTTATAGTGATCATTTAGGATTTCTCAATTTTCCTTTTCAACTTATTTATTTCTGGCCATTTTACCCCTCCTCAATCTCTTCACTCTTCCTCATGAGGAAGAGGTATCTTTCAGAGCTCAATCTGCCTAGTCTTGATTATTTCTATCCTCATAATAAAGAGAATGCTGAATGACATCTCATCCTTCTGATTCAAACTCTCCACCTTATGTAAGCCTGAATAACTACGCTGACCAGCCATTGCTGGACTCTCTGCTTCTGGTGTCTTTCTTAACATTCCACCATCCAGAATGACTGTCAGATTTATGCTTGTGCAGGCACACCTGCAGGCACTGATTCAAGGCAGCAGTACTGTGTTCTCACCCTGCTTAGGACTGAGGTCCCAGTTCTAGTGCATAGCAGGCAGTGAAGTGCTGCTGAATAAAAGTCTCATTACTATCCTGTTCACAGATATTCCTCGCTGAAGAACAAAATCAAATTCTCACCTGTCTTACTTGACCACTCCCTCAAAACACGCCTCTGTTGGCCACTTGCCTTAGATCTTATTTTTCCTTGATCTTTTCCTTGATCTTATTAATGATACTCATTATGCCATCTGCATATTCCAAAAATATTTCCTCTTTGAAAGTTCCCAAACTTACACAATCTTTCCTCCCTTAGAATACCTCCAGGATCCTAAAGTACTTCAACAGTCATTACAATTCCTTGATCTTAATCACTTGCCTAATTAACCTTATGCCTCTCACGCAGGGATTTCCTACTCTCTTTACCTTTATATAACACTAGCATTAATAGTCAAAAATAACATAAACAACGTTCTAGTGTCTATTAAAATTTTAAATGTACATAACTTCAAGACAGTAACTCTTATGGCTGACACAAACCTCAGAGGAAGCTTTGCATTATGCAGGAGCCATCCTTCAAGGGTCATCTATTACCACGACAAGGTGGAAATAGTCTAAATGTCCATCATTGGGGCATGGCCCACTATACTGTGGCTCAGCTATTTTCTGTAATAGTACTAAACAGTTAGTACAAAAAAGAGGAAAGATCTGCATGACCACAAAAGATTGTGTTAAAAAAGATAACATAGGCATATATTTTTATAGTTTACAATGTATATATGCAAATGCATTGCATTGTCTTTTTTGTGAAGTCTGGGATCATGAAAAGTCAAAGATGAGCAGTACTTTAGCTCTGCTTGTGATGTTTGAATTTGCTAATATCATAATAAATACATTACCCAATAGTTTCAAATCAATTAAGTGAATATATGAGACCATTTAAAAAATTAAAAAAAAAATACTGTTTAAATTTACATAGAACAAATCTTACCTGTGCAAAATACTTTCTTTTGCTAACTGAATTTGTAGTGTTCCACCTTTCCATTTTGTTTTATTTAAAACAGACATACCTATAGAGCAGAGAATTATTACCCAGTTATATGGCAATGCAAAATACATTTCAGAATGTGGTTTTTCTAATTATTTAGTATGTACCAAGGAAAGGAGACATGTTAACCATAAAGATACAGAGAAAACAGAATAAGGAATTTGATATCTGGAGTGAAAACACCTAGATCCTGGTCTTTCTTTGACCACTTATTAGTGGATCCCTATTTATTCCCTACAACCCAGTGAGACTGGAAGATATAAACAAAGCAAATGTATAAACTATAAAGCAAAATTTGTTTGTCATTTGTTTATAAAGTCATGTCAGAAACTTCTAGTGAATGACTGATATTTAGCATTTCCCACACGAAAACTATAAAATATTCATGTAATTGCCCTAAGGGGAATCAGAAGACACTTTGAAATTCTGGAGTGCCTCACCTTTATTTATTACCTCATACTACTTATTATTATGTAACTTTTTTTAAAAAAGATTTTATTTAGTTTTAGACGGGGGTGGGGGGGCGAGGGAAAAAGAGTGGGAGAGAAACATCGATGGGTGGCTGTCTCTCACACGCCCCCTACTGGGGATCTGGCCTGTAACCCAGGCATGTGCCCTTACCAAGAATTGAACCAGCAACCCTTTGGTTTACAGGCCAGCACTCAATCCACTGAGCCATACCATCCAGGGCTACTATGTAACTTCTAAACAAACAAGCTGCAAGTGACTAAACAGTGTTTGAACTGCTACACCCTAGTAGTTCATTTTTCTCAGTATTTGCTATCAGCATTATTAACAATAACCACTAATAGAGAGTAGATTGTTGGTGGGTACTATTTTAAAATACAAAGGTACTATTCAATTTAATCTTCACAGTAATATTCTGAGGAAAGCAGTATCTTTGTTACTCTTCAGATAAGCAAACTGGGGCTTAGAAGTTTAAATTAAATTGCCACAGGTCACACATAAGAGCTGATGTGTTTTTAACCACAACTTACTATATATACTTTCTCACTTAACAATAGGATTAAGGTTTTGTTTTTGATTTTTTTGCAAATGAAATGCAAGGATGATGGCCCTCTTTCTCTATTAATAGTACCTCTTGAGTTTTCAGCTTCCAAATAACTAGAATACGCTACTTCATCAGTGGCAGTATGGATTATCTCCCCTTTCAATAAAGACCACAGTTTGCCCTCAGCTTTACTAAACTTATCAACTGAAATTTTGTAATTTCAAGAATATGGTTTTATAAGGGAATATACTAAATCCAGCCCTCTCCTAACTCCATTCAATCACAAGAAAATAACCTCCATAAGAAATACATGCACTGGGGAAGGGGTGGGGATATGGCATAATATCCAGTGGAACACGTGTGACAGGCAACTTCTATGAAAGTTCTGTCTCTTGTCCAAAATATTTTAGAATACCATTTTTGAGCAAACCCATTGCCAATGTGCTACCACATGTCTGCTGATGCCAAATGGTATTAAACGAAACCTGCTGTGTTCTGGAATACTCTTCATCATGGTTGTCCCTCTGGATGACTTGAAAAGTGGTCACTGAAGTTTAGATTTAGAACGAAGTTTTCCAAGTTACTCTGACATAACCTGGCAAATAATATAGAAGACATCTTACATTTTTTCAGATCTGTGTCTGCTACTCTGATGTTGATGTATGCAAAAACTTTCTGTGGGTTTCCTAAAAAAAAAAAAACACACAAAAACAAAAAAAAACAGAAAAATTCATTTAAACCTTGATCCAGAAAACACTGTTAAAAATGATTAAGTTTCTAAATAAAAAAAAAAAAGAGTTCCTGGAAACTTACCCTTTCAAAGAAAAACCCTGTTTAGTTTTCACTGGACATAAACACTGAATTTTTCCAAATATGATTATCAACATATTCCAAACAAATAGAGTTAAAAAATGTCCAGTGGTCAGTTAATTACGTAATTATTATGTTGTTACATGTTTTGATTCCATGTTAGTGATATTCTACTTAATAGGACATTTAATGAGTATTAGATATTGGCACTGAAAACTGAAAGTTACATGTTTCAGAAACTGTATGTTTTAGAATTTAGAATATTTTTGATTTCAGTATTGTAATTCAGGGTAAGTCCCACATCATAAGTTTTACCTCCAGGGCATAGGGCGCGATGTATAGGACAGTGTACTACAATGATACACAAATCTCTTTTAATGTTTCAGGCTAACGTTCATCCCTGAAGTTCCTTTACTTTGTGATAAGTGACCTAGTTAGATCCGCCTTTAACGACACATAAAGGACTATAAATTTACCTTGATCATCTTTCCGAGTGATGATCTCCACATCAGAAACTTCTCCAAATCTGCTGAACTGATTTTGTAGGTCTGCCTCAGAAATGTTCTGGCCAAGGCCACCCACAAAAAGGCGCTTTGTTTCTCTGTTGACCTTCATAAAGGCTGGGCATACAGTGTATTCTGGTGGGAAAAATAATTTTCTATCTACAGAGAAGAGTTCTTTCCATTAGTTCTTCTCAAACCTAAAAAAAAAAAATTAAAAAAAAAAAACCCCAACAAATTTCTTACCTTCTGTGTTAAATTGATTGCCTGAACTTTCACTATTACATTATTTCTAAATTTTTATACCTGGAGATTCTGGTCGAGCTCTACATTCACTTTGTCTATGAATTCACTTTGGAACAGCAACCTCTGCACACACACAGGTAGGGCAGATGCTTTGAGGCTTTCCCTCAAATGAGCACAGTATTATACTCTACCCCTCCTCGTTTACTTGTCCATGTTGTTAGACGTTTTTATTTTATTCATTTATTCACTTTAACAAATACTGACAGAAATGGGATGTGGCAGGTCAATACACTAAAGAATTAAAAGAAAAGCACTCTATCCTGCTGTCCTCACAGCCATGTGAGAAGCAAAGGATGCAATTACAGTACTGCCGCAAGAGGAGTGCCTGCAAAGTGCTGTTCAGGCAAAGAGAGCAACTGATATCGCTAATACAGACTTTTTGTTTGTTTGTTTGTTTTAAGATTTCTTTATTTTTAGAGACGGGAAGGGAGGGAGAAGGGAGGCACAGAAATACCAGTCGGTGGTTGCCTCTGGCGCGCTCCCTACTGGAGACCTGGCCGGCAACCCAGGCACGGGCCCTAGATTGGGAATCCAACTGGGGACCCTTGGGTTCGCAGGTTGGCACTCAGTCCACTGAGGCACACCAGACAGGGCTTGCTTTTTCTGTTTTTTGTTTACTATGGGCCAGCGTTGCATGACACAGTTTGCGTGCATCTCATTTCTCAGATGAACCGGAGAAGTGAAGTCACTTTCCTAATGCCATCCAGAGAATTAGCGAAGCTAGAATTATGAACCAGGTCTAATTTCAGAACCTTTAATGCATAACTATACTAGGAAGGTTGTTGGATTAGAAGGGGCTCGGGAATATTCTTTCGGAGGTACTAAAATTTGAGGCTCTTTATGAGATCTCTAATCCCGTTTAACACCCACAGGCGCTCAGCTGCCACACTTAGCTTTTCCCAAAGAGCTGACAGATTCCCCCCACCCAACGCAAAGCTCGGGTTCTGGGCATGTCCCTAATAGACTTCTCTGCCCCCAACCTATCCACCCCAGCCTTCTTCCCCCTGAATTCCCAAAGACAAGAAGGGACAGCGAGGAGGCCAAATGGCCGGGTGACTTGCCCTAAACCCGCTCCTCACCACGTCGTCGTCTACGCAGCGCCGCTTCGGCCCCTAACTTCTAGTCACGTGTCTCACTAGGCGGAGTCTCTATTCCTTCCTACTAGATTTCCAACCCAGCCTCCTAAGGTTCCGTTACTATAATCAGTTCCCTAGTGCTCTTTATTTCGTTTCTCGCCCAGGATAGTGCGATGCCTCCCCCACTGGACGTCTTAAAAGGACCCAAACCATAATTCCATAATTCTTACCTGATAGGGTTAGTTATTGCCTTCTGTTTATCCACATCTGGACTAGGTCCGCGAAAGAGAAATGAATAAAAATAACGAGACTCTCCACGCGGCCGCGGAAGCGACTCTTCAGTGACGTACGCATCCGGGCTGTTCCAAACTTCACTAGCGCAGGTTGGGCTGTAGTGCCCTTGGATTTTGGGTTGGAGAGAACTAACTCTCTCCAAGCGTAGACGCTGCTGGAGCACAGCTGTGGAAGCGTGTAAAGGGACAGAAACGAGCTCGGGATACTCTGAGAGCTATGGTTGCACTCACAGACGTAGCTCATACTCCTTCGCCTCCCCGCTGAGCTCCGGGGATGGTCCGTTCCAGGAGCGCGCGAGACTTTAAGCGTCCGCTCTACGCACTTCTGGCCAACTGTTAGCGCGCCCCTATGGACCGTCAGCTGGCGGAGGTTCGCGTCTTGGAAGCCGAGGTTGCGGCCCTGATGTTGGCTTACGAGGAGATGCTGGCGCCCGTGGAAGACACCGCCCGAGTCCAGTACGTGGCCCTCCTCAGGTCCTGTGGGTCTGCCGAAAGTCTCTCCTCTCGGACGTTCCGGACCTCCCTGCAGACATTTCCGAAGGACCAAACGTGGGCGAGAGCGCAAATAATTGTGTAATAACGGTCTAGGATGATTAAGTCCTCTTGGGGATCTTTAGTTGTAAGCGTGTGGCCATGTGTGAAGTAATTTAAATCGAACCGCTGTTAGGGAAGTAGGAGAAATACTTGTCTAAAGGACAACAAAGCCATTATGCACTAATAGGCAGAGATTAAGTGGACAGTGCTGTCTGCTACAAAGCCGAGATATCTTAACGTCTTTGTTACTAGTAATAGACATGGTCCATCGATTACCTACTGAGTGCCAGACTGAGAAAGGCAGGCAAAGATCTTTATGTGCATCATCTCTCTTAGTCTACCTATGACAATCCTCTAAGGTAGGTGCTATTTTTAATCCTGTCTTAAAGTTAAGGAACCTGAGGCTCAGTGAAGTTAAGTTGCTTGCCGAAGGTCTCAGAGATAGTAAGTCTCAGATCTGGATTGGAACCCAAGAATCTATCTTTAAAGCCCAGGCACTTTGTTTAGCTGGAGGAGGGGAGAAAGGGACTGTGTACCTATTCATTCAAACTTGCTGACTGCCCAAAAGCAGACTGTCTTCATTTTTTCACTCAAGGCTAATTTGACAAGTACAAAGAGAATTAGGTTTTCCTGAGCTAACTGGACAAGAAAATTGGGAGGAGTTATAAATAAAATGTTTGCATGCATATTGGATGGGATCATGAAGGTGTAGAGGTAGCTGTGACTGGTGAAAAGGAGAGGGAAGCAAGTGAACAGGGAACAGATTCGGTACTTTACAATGCAGGTGCTACTCCAGGGGTGCTTCGCAGATTGGAAGCAGTAGTATTACTTGGGACTTGGATAAATTTGACTTCATGCCGACCTACTAAGTCAGAATGTGCACTTTAACAAGGCCCCACGCTATTTTATGCACATTTGAAAGTTTGAGAATGCTGCATTATACTGTGGGGAAAAGTTGTTGCTCTACTTGCTACAAGGTGTCATTGTTAAACCAGGATAGCATGTAGACTATTAATGTAATCTGGACCTCTTCTATGATCAAGTTGTGAAAGTTGGAAGAGTCCAAATTATGGAAGACATTAAATATTAGTCCAGGGCATTTGGATTTAATGTGAGGTTTTTTTTCACTATGGTGGAAAAGGAAAATTGGGACCTGTGTACAAAGTTTCTTTGTTTTTTATTGTGGTGAAATACCATAAATTTTACCACCTTAACTAACCATTTGTAAGTGGCCATATCAGTGATGTTACATACATTCATAATATTGTGCAATCATCAGCACCATCCATCTCTATAATTTTCATTTTGTAAAACTGAAACTATACCTTCAAGCCGTATTCTTCACTTTCCTTAACCTCTGGCAACCACCATTCTCCTTTCTCTGAATTGGACTTTTCTAGGTACCTCCTATAAATGGCATCATACATGTTTGTCTTTGTGTGACTGGCTTATAACACTTAGCTCAACATCCTCAAGGTCATCCATATTGTAGCATATGGCAAAATTTCCTTTTTCAAGCTGAATAATAATTCATTGTACGTGTATACATTTTGCTTATTCATCTGTCGATGGATGATGCTTGGGTTGCTTTCATGTTGTAGCTATTGGGAATAATGCTGGTATGAATATGGGTTTAACAATATCTCTGAGACCCTGCTTTTAATTCTTTTGATATACACTGAGACACGGAATTGCGGGATCATATGTTAATCCTATTTTAAAGTTTTTGAGGACCCCTCCCCATGCTGTTTTACACAGTGGTTGTACCATTTTACAGTCCCATCAGCACTCCCCAAAGGTTTCTCCACATCCTCCCCAACACTTGTTTTCTGGTTTTGTTTTGTTGTTTTAAACATATTGGTGATTTCTTTTTTTAAAATATTTTTTATTTTTATTTTTAGGAGAAGAGAAGGAGAGAAAGGGAGAGAAACATTAATATGTGGCTGCCTCTCCCACGCCCACTATTGGGGACCTGGTCTGCAACCCAGGCATGTGTCCTAAGCTGGCAGTCAAATTGTGGATCCTTTGGTTTGCACAACAGTATTCAGTGAGCCATACCAGCCAGGGTTGTTTTATGGGTTTTTGTTTGTTTGTTTTGTTTTAATAGCAATTCTAATGGGTATGAGGTTCACTCTAGTTTTATTTTGCATTTCTGTAATTATTAGAGATGTTGAGCATTTTTTCATGTACTTATCACTCATATATTATTGGAGAATGTCTAGTCACATCCTATTCCTATTTTTGAATCAGTTTGTTTGGTTTTTTTGTTTTGTGAGTTTTAGGAATTCTTTATATTTTCCATATTAATCTCTTTTAACAGATATGTGGTTAGCAAGTATATTCTCCCATTTTTTGGGTTGGCTTTTTACTCTGTCAATAATGTCTTATGATGTACAATGTATTTTTTAAAGTCCATTTTTTTTGTCTATTTTTTCTCTTGTTACTTGTGCCTTGGATGTCACATCCACATACTCACTGCCAAATCCAATATTGTAAAGCTTTTATCCTGTGTTTTCTTTAGTAACACTAAAGAGCTCTGTTGCTTTAGTGTTACATTTAGACCTTTGATCCAGTTTGAGTTAATTTTTGTGTATGTTAGATAGGGGTCCAACTTCATTTTTTTGCATGCAGATATCCAGTTTTCCCACCGTCAATTGAATGATATCAGCATGCTTGTCAAAAATCATTTGACCATAAATACAAGGGTTTATTTCTGAGCTTTGTATGTTATTCCATTGATTTGTACATCTGTCTTTATACCAATGCCACACTATTGTTTACTGTAGCTTTGAGGTAAGTTTTGAAACAAGAAGTGTGAGTATTCAGGTGTGTTTATTTTCAAGATTGTTTTGGCTATTTGGGATTACTTGAGATTCCATATGAATTTTAAGATGTCTTTTTCTGCTCCTGCAAAAAATCTCATTGGTATTTTTGTAGGGATTGCATCAAATCTTTAGATTGCTTTAGGTAATATTAGTAATATCTTTGATAATATCATTTTCCAATTCATGAACATGAAAAGAGTTTGCAATTATTTATGTCATCTTTAATGACTGTCAGTGATTATTTTATAGTTTTCATTGTACAAGTCTTTTACCTTCTTGGGTAAATTAATTCCTAACTATTATAGTCTTTTCACTGTTACTGTAAATGGAATTGTTTTTGTAACTTCCTTTTCAAATTGTTTATTTTTGGTTTGTAAAAACACATCCAATTTTTGTGTGGTAGTTTTGTATCCTTCTTTGCTGAATTCATGTATTAGTTCTAACAGGTTTTTTTGTGTGTATGTGTGTGGATGGAATCAGGAGGGTTTTCTACATAGAAGATCATATCAAGCCCTAGCTGGTATGGCTCAGTGGATTGAGTGCCGGTCTGTGAACCAAAGGGTTGTGGATTCAATTCCCTGTGCTGGGCACATACCTGGGTTGCAGGCCAAGTCCCCAGTAGGGGGTGTGTGAGATGCAACCACACATTCATGTTTCTCTCCCTCTCTTTCTCCTTCCCTTCCCCTCTCTAAAAATAAATAAATAAAATCTTTTTAAAAAATCATATCAATAGCAAACAAAGATAATTTTATTTCTTTCTAACTCAGATTCTTTTTTTCCTTGCTTAATTGCTCTGGCTTGGAGTTCTAAAACTATGTTGAATAAACATGGTGAGAGTGGGCATCTTTGTCTTGTTACTCATTTTAGTTGAAAAGCATTTAGCTTTTCAGTATTAGTTATGATGTTAGCTGTGGGTTTGTCATATATGGCCTTTATTATGTTGAGTTATGTTTCCTGTATACCCACTTTGTTAAGAGTTTGTATTGTTGAATGTTGAATTTTATTAAATACTTTTTTCTGCAGTTGTTGAGATGATCACATGATTTTTATCCTTACGATTGTTAATGTGGTGTATAATTTTGATTTGCAGATGTTTATTCTTGCATTCATGGACTGAATCCCACTTATAGTGTTTGATTCTTTTAATATATTATTAAATTTGGTTTGCTAATGTTTTGTTGAGAATTTTTGCATCAACATTCATCAGGGATATTGGCCTGTAACTTTAATTTCTTGTAGTGCCTGTCTGGTTTTATGTTCCTTCCTTTTCTGTTTTTAGAAATTTTTGAGAGGGATTGGTATTCTTCAAATATTTGGTAGAATTTACCATTGAAGTCACCTAGTTCTGGATTTTTGTTTGTAGGTAGGTTTTTATTTTATTTTATTTATTTTTAATGAAAGCCCTATTTTATTATTTTTTTAAATTTATTTTTAGAGAGAGGGGAAAGGAGGGAGAAAGAGAGGGAGAGAAACATTGATGTGTGAAGAGAAATATCAATCAGCTGCCTCTCACACGCCCCTGAGGATGTGGCCTGCAGCGGATGCATGTGCCCTGACTGGGAATCGAACTGGCAACCTTTTGGTTCATACGACAGTGCTCTATCATCTGAGCCACGCCAGCCAGGGCTATTTTATTCATTTTTTAAACATTTTTTATTTATTAAATTTTTAAAATTAAATTTATTGCGGTGACATTGGTTAATACGGTCATATAGGTTTCAAGTGTACATTTCTATGATACATGATTTGTATATTGCATTGTAACCACCATACTGTTTTCTGTCTATGAATTTCAATTTTATATCCCACATATGCGTGAAATCATGTGGTTCTTAGCTTTCTCTGACTTATTTCATTTAACATAATATTCTCAAGGTTCATCCGTTTTGTTGCAAATTGGCAGTATTTCATGTTTCCTTATGACTAGTAGTTTTCCATAGTATCTTTATCCAGTCCTCTGTCAAAGGACACTTTGGTTGTCCTCATTTCTTGACCACTGTGAGTAATGCTGCAGTGAACATAGGGGTGCATAAATCTTTGTGAATAAATGGTTTTTGAGTTTTTCGAGTAGATATCCAAAAGAGGAGTTGATGGGTC